GTGGACTTCGATTTGCGTGAGTTGAAGTCCGCCAAGTACCCCCTAGTTCTCAGTCCCACTTGCCACCTGTGGCTTTAGGACTCTCTAGTGATCGGTATGAGTATCAGTCCCTGCAATGGTTCATAAGCTTGGGCAGCCAGATTCAACCCAGAGGGCCTGATAAGGTCCCTTAGTTTCCCCCTGGTGGATGGTTTCGTGAGAGGTTGTGAGGTTCGTAGTGAGAGAGAGGGGGGAATCATGAGGGATTTAGTGTCTGCGTCGCCCAGTTGTGGTTGTAAACATTCAGCTTGTGAACCCTGCTGGGATTCAGATTCAGGCACGGTTTCCGGTTTAGTGTCTGACTCATCTTGGTCCTCCTGATCCTCTGAATCCTCGTATTGGGATGATTCAGAGCAGGAGGAGTCTGACATTGGGTCTGAGATCATAGAGATCGCTTTCTCACAGGCCTGAGTTGGGGCAATGTGCAGTACCGGTCTGAGTAGGTGGGGGGGGATGTTGTCTTCCCATGTTCTCACTCCTGCGGTCAGTGCGTTTCGGTTCTGGTCTGCGTGCAGAACTGCTGCCATTTCTTGAATGAGAACCTCCGGCCACTGTTGACCCTCCACCAAACATGAGGTCTGTCCTTCCTGTCTCTTGGGGAGGGGGCAACTCTTGTGAGGTTGGGACCGACTGCTGCACCGACCATAGATGGTCGATGATTGCTTGGGTGATGTGGATGATGGATCGAGCCACAATCTTCCAATCCACCGTGTCAGGGGTTGCGAAGGAGTTCACTGTGTGTCGAAGGCCCTCATTTTTCATGATGAACTTCCTGATTCTTTCCCAATGTGTGGGCGAGATACAATTGTGCAGGGAGATAGAATCTAGAGACATCATTTTTAGTAGCACCCAGTCCGCCAGTTCCTTGAGTTGTGTCTTCACCCTTATGTGGGCAATGGTCGGCTTCTGTTTATTCCGACCTTTTCGTTTTGCCTTTTTCTCAAGATCATGATCTGTCCCCCGGAGGACGCCCCTCGCATGGTTGAGGGCCTCCAGACCATCGTCGACGCGTTGTTGCTGGTGAAGGTGCGGTTTTCGCTTAGCGGAGGTGATGTTGAGGTCACCTTGTTCGTCGGGTCACCCACTGGGTTCCTGTGCAATCTCAGGTGGTGCGCATCGCTGTCTTCAGGCACTATGATAATGTCCCCTTGGTGGTCGATTTGCAGAGGGGGCGCAGTTTCGGTTGCATCCATCTTTGAAGTTTGTGCGTGGGTTAAAAGCAGTTGTTGTTCCCTATACATGAGCGCCTCATGTGCTTGAGCCAGGGCCTGTGTGATTGTGTCTGCATCTTCATGTCTTCCTCTGCTAGCCACTGAGACTGTGCCTGCATTTTCATGTGCTCCTCTGCTAGCCACTGAGCCTGTGCCCGAACCTGTGCTTGGGCCTGAACTTTTTCATGGGCCAGTTGCTGAGCCTGGGACTGTGCCCAGGCATATGTTGTGGCTTGTATATCCTGTATGTGGGCCTGGGCCTTTGCCACCCCGTCAGAGGCCCCTTGACTGTTCCCCAGCTGCAGGCAGGGGGGTCTGGGGATGTCTGATACGGGTCGTTGTTATTTTCCAGCATGACATCTCCTTGATAGTCCAGCTGTAACCTAGGGGGCGTGCTGTATTCGAGTTCTTGCTGGGGCATTGGTTGTCGGGCCATGTTAGCCTCTGTGTGGGTCAGTGGTTGGGACCGTGTGTGGGATGGTTGTGTATGGAGTCGTTGGTCACCTCCCAGGGTCGTGGTGTTATGTGTACCATGTTGGATGGTTGCAGACCTTTCCTGTTTATCCTGTTTCTGATGTCTTGCTTGTTTCTTGAGGCTTGCCTGGCCTGGACCGTTGGAGGGTGGGCCAGGCTGCAGGGGTCCGACCTGGGGAGCCTCCCCCTGTTGGGGTCGAGGCGGTGTTGGCACAACTGGTGGCTGTATGTCATTCATCAATTGGGCCATGTGCTTGTCTGGTGGATCCATCATCTCCACGGGTGCCACATTGCCACTCTGCGCCATCACCTCCTTGATTTTGGCTAACTAGTATTCCATGTGTCCTGTCATCACCCCTACCGGTGTCCCGATGCCTGCTAATGACGGTACTGCAGTCGGATCGTCTGTCTGGCCATGCAATTGGGGGGGAGGCCTCTCCCCATGTTGATGCTGATGGCCGCTCTTTGTGCCAGAGTGGCTTCCCACCTCAGAAGTGGTCTGGATAAGTGATGTCTCTCGGGGTTGTTCCAGTCCCTGTGTGGAGGGTATGGTCGTCATATTTGTCTCGAGAGACAATTTTTTCGCACCTTCGATTGCACAAAGGTCTAATGACCTGTGTGACCCCGACCCAGGATCCGTGATGGCAGGGGCCGGTGGCTAAGTCGGTTGTTGTGTTTGAAGCATTCCATTGTGTGTTTGCTGCCGTATTGGCTTGTAGTGGGGCTCGTTCTGTTCTGGCTGTTTGTCATGTGTTGCGAGCGTGGTCATTTGTTTCAGCCCCTGCTGGAGTTGGCCCGGTGGCCCCTCCGGGGACTGAGCCTTGTCGGGTAGAGGACAGTTGTTTGTCGTCTCTGGTGAGGGTGGCGGTGGTGGTCTGTGACCTGTTTCCTGACCCATTCGCTGTCTGTCGAGCTGTTGTGTTCTGTTGGTTGTCGTTTGCTGAGATGGCCGAGCAGGGGTGGGGGTCCCATTCGTCCCGGAGTGAGGGGCTTTGGGATCTTTTGTGTGGGGCCTTGTTTTGAATTGTTTCTTGCTATTGCTTTTCCCTAACGGGTCACCCTTTTTGGGTGCTGGTTTGGGAGTGTGTACCTCAGAGCTGTTGGGGGCAACCTTTGGAACCCCTTCCCCCTTCCAAAACCAATACCCTGGTTTTTGTTTCTCTCCTTCTCTGAAAGGCCATCCCTTGAGTTTGGGGTCTTCGGACTGCCAGATGCCTTCCAGCGTGTGGTGTGGGGAGACGAGGCCGGTCAGTGCATTCCTCAACAAGTTTGGACAGTTGGCGTTCATACACAAATGTCCCCTGAGTCTGCATGCGTAGCACCACGGGTCTTGTGTGTGACTCAGTGGGACCGAGTAGGTCTTTCCCTGGTATGCATAGGTCCATTCTTCATTCAATGGGAAGGGTTTGTCGGAATCCCAATCCAGCGCCACCAACAGAGAGTCGTCTCTTTTCGACATAAACTGTGGGAGGTCGTGAACATATCCTTTGAGCGGGCCAGGTCCTGTAGATCTGCCAGAAGTTACTCCTCATTACCAATTTTCCTCCTCATCCTTCTCCTCCTCCTTTTGTCTTCTTCTTTCCTCCTCGTCGTCATCCTCCTCCTCCATATCTTACCGCCCACCATCTCACACATCCGCCAGCCATATTGCACCACCCGCCATATCCTACTGCCCGCTATCTCCTGATTTTTTTTTGTATTTTCCTGCCCCCCAAAAAGGACGTAAGTGGGCAGACAGCAGCTTCATTCACAACCGCACAGACTACTTCTTCTTCTTCTTCTTCTTCGCATTCTAATTCTTTGTCTCCTTCTTCTTCTTCTTCTTCTTCTTCTTCTTCAGATATTCTAACTTTCGTTTTTCCCTAGCTGTTGGTCCTTGCATCATGTACTTCCACGACATTATGGCGGGCAGTGGCAGGCCGTCGGCAGGGGGAGTGGCGGGTCTGGAAGGACGAGAGCAGATAAAGGAAGTGGCGTCTTCTTCTTCTTCTTCCTCCTCC